TTCAACGTTGATTCAATGTTTCTGGCTGACATTGATTCAATGTTGTTTCAATCATTCTGTGCTATCTGGGGACTGTTATTTCCCCCACCCCTCTCATTATCATTTAATTGTGTCCTGATAAGCTTGAAAGCAAGCTGTGAGCTCTCTCTGTTCCAAACATCAACATGTTTATGGATCGCAGAAAACCAAACGGTAAAAAAAAAACAAAAAAAAAAACGTTCACCTCGGGGTTAATTCCTCGCCGGCTCGCTCTTTGCAAAAGTCTGCTGCCAAACTCTCTTGCTCTGTAAACTACGGCGAGCAGACGAGCTTCTCGGTGATCCATCACCTTGGCACCTCGGTCCTCCCACACTTTCCTCGTGTATCCGTCCGGTTGGCAGCAACCTTTCCGCAGTCTTCTGCTCATACGGATGCAGCACTGTCGTCGTGTCCCCTCGTTTCCCATGAATAAATTGAACGCATCAGTGTGTTTGAGGTCCTGTCGAACAAGGAGGCCTGGAAGGTGATTCTTGGGTGGGATGTGGAAGGAAGGGGGGGACGGGGTGGTGCTGAGAGTCTAATTCGAGCGGTGACATGTGTTTGGACTGTAAAAAGGCACGGGAAGACACACAACTCCTTTATCATGGAAACGAGTCATTCTGGGATGAATCCAACCACAGAATTACTGCATCGATTCCTCGTGGACAACAGGTCTCCGGCTTTTGGGAGGGAATTTACATCCTGCTTCTGTAAGTGGACATACAAGATGAACGTATAGCGCAGAGGTTTGTAGCCTTCGCTTCCACGCGTAGAGGTTATTACCCTACAGTCTACCCAGCGTCTTTTACTCTGATACTCGTAAATAAACACCAAAAATTTGGTGATTGATATAATTTTAGTACTCTATTTTCTATTTTCCTTAGAATGTCGGCTTCAGTGTCCTGCGCACGTAGTGGTACCTCTTATAATGATGTGTAAAGAATATTTAAGTTAATCACAGTCTATGTAGTAACTTTTAGAGATCACATCCCCTTAGCCGCTCCTCAACATAGAAAAGACGTGCCATTAAATTAAGGTATTTGTGTGTTTATCTTACCAAAAAAGTGTGCTATTATAACAAATGTAACTTGTCCAATTTGCCAAATGCTACTGGAATTAGGAGCTTTGCTAAGGTGAACCTAATGTTGACCTTTTCAGCTTCGTCCCTACTGCCAGCGGTGGACGATCAGTGATGTTGTGGGACTGTTTTTCGTCCAATGAACCCCTGGTAAAGTGCATGGCATCATAAACTGATTTTAAATCGAATGGTCTTTGTCAAGAAAGTAAAAAAAGGGGTTGTCATTAGGTCTTTCAACAGGATGATAATCCGAAACATCCGGCCAGATGAAGACAGTAGATGCCACTTTTCTGGCCATCTTAGTCCCCAAACTTAGATCCTTTTGAAAACCTGCAGGGTGAGCAAGAATGGAGGAGCTGGATGACAATCCAGAGGGATTTTGCTGAGAGGAATCATCAAAGGTCCTTGTGCCTTTGGCGATTCCTGTTACAAGAGAAGACTACGCGCTGTCCTACTGGTAGAAGATTGCTATAGAAATAACTTCACTTGAAATAACATATCTAAAATTAAAGGCTAGGCTTTTGGACAATTTTCAGTGTAAGACCGTGCTACTGTGAGAAAAGCTTAATTCATTTTAAGTCTTATAACACCCTCTGTTTCAGGGGTGCCAACAAGTGTAAATGCTGTTGGCACGGTGCATTATATGCTCCTCTTAAACCTAAATGAATCAACATTAATACATAGACGTGACATTCACTCGCCATGCGCTCTAATCCAGCCCTGCATGATGACTGCTCCTTGCGGCCCAGAGGACGCAGCTCTCAATTCACATTTGGACAACTCAGACCACAGGTTTGTTTCTCTTCTGTACTTCAGGCTCGTTCTGTTTGGGACTACAAATAAAATGACCTCGTATAACTATCCGTCTTCTATTAGACTTCACTATTTTCTGCATACCTCTTGCACACTGAAAAGTCCTTGGTGCAGTGTCCCGGCCGACTCCATATTGGAATCAACTTAAATGGCTTGAATTAATTTGGAATTTAAGCAATCTCTCCAAGTAAATATGGGTTTTCCCCCGAATGCCAGTGCCGCGCTTAAGTGTTCACAACTTAATGAGCCACATTACGAACGCAAACTCGATGTGTTAAAGAACCACGTCTTGCTACATCTAAGGGGAGAAGGGTGTTTCTACACCAGCTTTGTACATTTAGAGAAATGTACACTTTGTCTTCACTTCAAAGTAGCTCGGGTTTAGTCAGATTTGATGGATGGCATGTGTCGGAGCAGCAATTTTCTAGTATCACAAAACTTTCTCGATTGTATTTAAGTCTGGGCATCGATTGGGCCGTTTGTAACGCATAAATGTGGTTTGATCTAAACCGTACGTGGCTCTGGCTGCATGTTCAGCGTCGTCGTCCAGCTGAAAGGTGGAGCCTCTGCTGAAGTCTCAAGTCTTTTTCAGCCTCCAGCAGAACCGACTAGTATACATTTCCATTCATCTTCCCATCAGCTCTGACCTGCTTCCCCGTCTCCCTGCTAAAGAAAAGCATCCTCGCAGCATAACGCTGCTAACGTTGACCGAGAATATGGTTTGTTGTTTGTTTTTTTACAGTAAGATAACGAGTGCTGCATGCAAATACACTATTTTGGTTTGTATTCCTCCATATGTTGCTACTATGCTGCTTCATTTCACCATAGGTGCCATTTAGTGTTGGTCAATCACATAAAACCCCCTCAGACTACATTTCAAATTGTGGTTGTTTGTAAAAAAAAAAAAAAAAAAAAGAGATCAGTAATCACTCAAATCTCTGGGGGAAAAAATAAAAGCACAAAATCACTCTAGTTTTGCCACTATTGTTGTAGTGTCATTTATTTCTCAATGGCAGTCGGAAAACAGGTTTTCTGGACCGCCGTGGCTGGCTGTGTGTTTGCTCCTTGGCTCTTTCAGCTCACACATGATGAATATCCAATCAGCACAGTCAATTTGCTGAGTCATGCTTGGGTTGCTTTCAAATACCCTGTGGGTATGGAGAAATAATTAAGGAACACGGCTCCTTTTCGCCCTGTTGAGGTTGATTCACCTGTTTGTTTGCTTGAGTTATCGGGGAACCAGGCACTAAAGAAGCAGAACTGATTCATTTTAATATGTTTTTACATCAGTTTTTTTTTTGTTTTGTTTTGTTTTTCTCCCGTTTCTGTAGCCAAAAAATGCCCTAGAAATACCTCCCACAACTTTTGTTTACTACCATTACAAAGCAGAACAGAGCATATTAGAAAGATGTCAGATAAATGTTTTATTCCCCCGGAAACTCGCAGTGTATTCTCCATGAATACAATATATCTACTTTCCGCTGTCTTCCACCCCTGCTTTTCCTAATGGGATTCACTCCTTTGCATTTCAGTGAAAAGCTGCTATTTTTTCCAGGTTTGCTGATGCAAAGAAATAAGTGCACTTTAGAGTTTTGGAGCCGGAGAAGCAAGGTACCATTGCCTATCAGGAATGGTTCAATTACCAGCTTTCATACTGGAAGGGGAAAGGGACTGTAATCCATGCTTTCTCTTCGTTGCTGTTTTTTTTGTTTTTTTTGTTTACCCATTTACAAGTTGTCTCTTCATCCTCCTGCTCGCTCCTCGCTTTATTGCACTCCAAAGTTTACTGCTGGAGCATTAGCAATTCTAATGAAATGGAGCGCTGTACTCTGTTTGATCCGCCCGGGAGTGATACTAAAGGGATTTTTACCAAGAGGTGGGAAGAATCAAAAGACAGAATGATGGAAGAACTAGGGTGATGACACTTCCCTGCCTTCCAGCAGGCAGCGTGAACAACACGGAGACGTAGATGCAAAATACCAACTCCTAAAAGAAAATTTGCGGATGGTAGATTGTGAGTTCAGCTGTTCTTGTTCTGGATTTATTTATTGTTGTGGTTGACTAAATCAAGTTTTTGATAACCCCACAGCTGTTTAAAGCAGGGTTAGGTTAGAAAACAAAATCCCAAACTTTGCAAAGTTCAATCCATCATCTGACAGTCAAAACGGTGTAGGGGATGATGGCTGCAACCAAAACAGGATTTCCCAGCAGGCACAGTAACCAGAGTGTTAATCAGAGATTAGAGGGCCATGATGACTCTGGAGGAGCTGCAGGACAGAAACCCATAAAAGTCCCATTCGTAGTTTACCATAAAACCATGCAGGAGATGCAGCAAACAATTGGAAGGAGGTGCTCTGGTCAGGAGAGACTAAATTTAACATTCCTGGCCAACATGCATCACCCCAATCTGTGTTGGTCTGTCACATAAAATCCAAGCAAAACAAGGGACAGGAGCTGCTATCTCACATAATCTAGAGCCTGCGTTACATGGAGCGTCTCCTCGGCTGTTGCTAGACTGCCATCTGGGCAGCTACAGTTGGAGGAAGGAAGGTGTGGACAGGTGTGTGTCAACATGCATGCATGAATAGCTGCTTGTGTATCCAGGTCTGCTGTTTCTCCCTCTTAATGTGTGTGTCCGCGCACGCGCGTGTGTGTGTGCGCGTGTGTGTGTGTGTGTGTGTGTGTGTGTGTTCTCTCCCTGCCTGTCCTGTCTGCTCTGGCCCAGCAGCTGCCACCCCAGGCCAGATAGGATGACATGACCTTCCCCAGTAATGAAAAGGCACTGACAAATCACTGTCTGCTTCTCATAGTGCGAGCGCAGGAGGAGGGATGCTGACGCCAACATCATCCCGCTCTCCTCCCCGCTCTGCGGCTCTCCGTGGTTTTGTTGTTGTTTTCTCGCAAGTGTGTCTACATGTTTGTCTCTCGTCCAAAAGCAGGGCTCTCGTCGGGGGTCTGTCCCTAGACAGCCGTGTTTATGACTGAGAGGATGATGGGCTCTGCTTCACCCTCTAACTTCCTCTCTGGGCTCCCTGCCTCGCGTCTCTCTCTTTCTCTCTCTCTCTTTTTTTTTTCTTTTAGCCTTAATTGGCCGTGGTTGAGGAGAGGGATTGTCTTGGCAAAGATGTGAAAAGGATATGCCTGGTTGCACACCAGTCGTTTCAGCGATCTATTAAATACAACTTGCAGGGAAGAGGGGAGCGTTCCTCCATCTTTACGCCCTCCCCCACCCCCCACCCCACCCCTCCGCCTCTGCTCTGGCTTCCTGTAGCATGCGCTGAGCTGCATTTCTGACTTGGTATTTCTCTTTTGTTTCAGGGAGTGGTGGAGAGGAAAGACTAACAGACAGAGGTGTGTATGCATGACTCACCTGCCGCCGAGCATCCCGTTTCGTTCTCATCCTCACACCCACGCCAGCCCCTCTGTGCCTCCTCCCACTAACCGTTCCCTCCGCTCGCACATGAAAATGCTTTTTCTGTGTTTTTCATTCTCACTTTCTCTTTCCTCCTTCCTTGCATATCACTCCTTCTAACCCCAAACACCTCTTTTTTATTTTATTTTTAACTAGACTTCTCTCTCCCTGTTGCTCTGACACGCACTCACCCTGTCACTTGACACTGATTACCAGCCTGACTGGGTCATATGTTGTATATTCCAAGTCCCAGTTGGCGGAGTCATGGAAGCAATCCCGGCAAATAAACACCTACAAACCACAAACTTCCAACGTTTTAATTGGGATTTCATGTAATAGGCCAACACAAATTACTGGTAGTGGAAGGGAAATTATACAGTTTTATAAATAGATGAATGAAGGTACTCTGGTGACATTAGGCCTACTGCAGAAACACATTTGATATTCAGTTTGGAAAAACAATGTATCTGTAGACGAACAGAAGAGAAGGCCCGAGTAAGTCCTACTTCAAGTCTGCCACAAGCAACGGCAGCAAATATGTGGTATAAGGTGCGCTGCACGGTCAGATGAGACCAAAACTACGTAAACAAAAAGGCACCACTGACATATGGTGAAACACGGTGGTGGCAGAATCACGCTGGGGGGATCATCGACTTAGGCGGGAACAAGAGACCTGGTCGCAGCGGATGGAAGAATGGATGGAGTTCATGACGAAACCCCGGATACACACCCAGAGCAAAGTCACGGCTTAGAATGGTCCAGTCGAAGTCCGGTTCTAAATCCAATCGGTGATATGTGGAAAGACTTGAAAATTGGTGTTTGTTCACATTTCACTGAGCAAAAAGAAAATTGAGGAATTGGCCAAGATATCGATTTCCAGGTCCGTAAAGCTGCCGTAGAAACATCTTCCAACATCCTTCCAGTGAAGATGTGTTGACTGCAAAACGAAGCATAATTTGCAGATCTTTATCACTACAAAACCATATAGCATCTTTCTCTCATTTCACAGCTGTGAACCCTCTGTGCATAGTTGTGAAGGTTCGCACAGAAACAACATGAAAGCAGGTTTCATGTTGGTTTATCACATGAAACACATTGAGGGAGGTCTGCGGTTGTGTTGTGACTGAATGTGTGACTTGTTTGAGAGAACGGGTCACACATTCAGTCACATTTGTGTTTTTGAATTTGCACAGGTTTCAATCAGATTCAGTTATCAGCTCCTTTTTTTTCCCTTTTTTTTGCATCTGCAACAGTTCTGGAGTTAAGAGAGTTAACATGAACTCACCAGGTTAAAGTTGATTATAGTGTTGTGTTGCTTTTTTTTTTAAAATTTGTTTGTTTATTTTATTTATTTATTTTTTTTGCACCTCCTGAAATATTGATCAGTGGCCACTTCCTCCTTGTTTTCGTGCACGATCAGCAGCTTGCCAGCCGCTTTATCCTCGGCCCACCTCCGTGTGCACACTTCCAAACAGCGCACTAATGTATTATTAATGCTCTCACGGTTAGACAGGAGCAGCCCTTCGCCGTCGAGTATCCATTACTCCCTCTCGGTGCATTTAACCGACATGAACTGCGGAGCAAATTGGTTCAATTAATTTGAATTAAGGTGCAGAGGGAGCCGGCGGGACCCGGGCCGAGGAGAATGACGCAGGGAAATGAAGCTGTTTTAACCGACAAGCAAATCTGACTTGGACTAAAGCGTCCAACTTATTTCAGTTTTTATTTGTTCTGATAGGAATCTTTCAAAGAGTATTCTTCGGTGTGTTCAGCTGAGTTTTTTTTTTAATTTATTTTTTATTTATTTTATTTTCTCCTCCCGAACAGGAGCAGGGTTGTCGAGGACCTTTATCCCCCGGGCACAGACGTTCCCCAGCTTTCTGTCTGATGAGCAGGAGGAGAGGAGCCACCGCCACCAAGAAGAGGCGCCGTCGCCCTCTAGTGGCTGCGAATCCAGTTGCAGCCTCAGACCGCTTCAATGACAGGGAGCAGCTTAAGCGGCTGTGAACACTCAACCCGTCAATGTAGAGAGGATTCAGCAATCTGTATAGTGATACGTGTAATATACCTGTAGAAGCTGTAGAAGGGATCCTGGAGGATCGTCAAGTGTGGCTGCAGAGATAGCTTCTAAAAGTGCACCAAAAATCCTCTGTGTGTTATTTAAAGTGTTTCTCGTCGCCATTGTGTTCCGTTTAACTCTGCATGACCTGCTACTTTCACAACATTTTTTTTTATTTTTATGTTTTTAAAGCAAAGCACTTGGAAAGAAGTTAAAGGCACTATTACCTAAATATCTGCTGTAAAACAGCTTTAAGACACTTATTTTTCTTTTCTGAAGTTGATAAAATAACATCGGGCGTAATCCGGCAAGGTGCTGCCTCAGCAGCCGGTCCAAGAGAAACTCCACCAGTTTTGACACAAATCCCCCCCCCTCTCGCCTCCCCACCTCTCCCCAATCAGCTTTGTCGCGAGAATGTGAAATCGATCAATGCCTCACACAACAAAACAGCTTGATGTCCACGGCAGCGATGAATCAGCTAAACTTTTCTAATCGGCTTCAACCAGCGAAGAAAAAAAAAAGTCATTCATAAATGGGTTGGGGCGGACCGTTGTGTCAGAGATGATAAAAAGCGCAGGCCTCCTGCAGCCTCTGCTTTAAGCTGCTGACATTACTCTCCACTACGGCAAATTGACTTTAATAGCATCTGAGCCCTTCTGAAGCTCTGTCTGTCAGAAGTTACTGATAAGCTGTTCATAAGCAGAAAGGTGTTTAAAAAAAAAAAGAAAGAAGAAGGGTCACCTGATGGGGATGATGGGTTATGCAAATCAGAGATAAAATTCATATTTGGGGTCCATAATAAGCTAAGAGAATGTTTCTTGAGGAGAAAAACATGACATCAGGCATTCAGTGAAAGTTGCTTTTGAGGTTTTTGTGGAGGTTTAGGAAATATTTGTGATTCAGCAGAACCACAAATGTGAGCCTTCCCGGGGTTCCAACTGGTGAAGTATGGAGTTAGGTTTTATCACTTCCAAGTCCGAAAGGGTAAAAAAAAAAAAAAAAAAAATACATGAAAAAATGTTTACGTTTCCAGAACCTTTTCATCATTCCATTATCAAAAGCCTTTCATCCTGCATACAAAAATTGATGTGCGGCAGAAAACTGAACATGGAACGTCACCCTGAATCTACCGTTCTCTAATGTGAAACGATGTGGTAGCAGCATCATACCGTTGGGATTCCTTGACAATTTTGAGCCGCCTCGTGTCAGTCGATCCTATTCCCAATAAATTACATAAAAGTTTGTTGTAGCAACGTGAGAAACGGTGAGCTCTGCTGATGTGGACTATCTTAGACCGAGGATTTAAGCAAATATAATAAAGGTCCAGGTGTCTGACAAGCCGTCAAGTCACTTTTTTACTAAAACACAGAATAGGAGCCCCGCTTCATGTGTTTTGTGTCATGATTTGTGGAACATAAAACCCAGCGAGGCAGATATACTCCTCTCAAATAAGCACATCGTTATAAAGATGGCAAAAAACCTTCTTACTCACTCAGTTGACCGACTCCTCTACTAGTAATTACACTGACAGTCGCATCATGTCATTCTAAACTTGATCTGACCATCTGCAGTGTCGCTGCTCCGCTGTTTTGCTCCTACTTCCTGTTCCTGCCTTTCTCGCCATCATTACTGTCAAAAAAAAACAAAAACAAAAAAAACCTCCTAAAATATTGGTTAAAAAAAAGTTTAGAGAGAACATCATTGATCCAAGAATAAAGTGACAGAAAGGCAGGACAGAGACAGAAAGCCTCAATTACGAATCCATCTGTTCCTGCAGCTTTGCTGACAGTGCGGCGGTATAAACAATACTTGGTAGGCTTCTGGTGTTTTGGCGGCTTGGATCATTCATTTCAACTTGCACAATATGGGTGTCAAACAGAATCAGTCAGCCAAACTTTTTTTTTTTTTGTTTTTTTTTTGTTTTTTTTTTTGTGCCCACGGTCTCTGCTAACAAGAGGTCATTGAAGGAGAAACGGTAGGTTAACAAGGCAGCGCTGCATTTTACTAACAAGATGCATTTCCTCTTCCCAGTGTTTTCAGGGGAAATAAAAAAAAGATATGATTCTGAAAAGTGAGTCCAATGCAAAGTAATGGGAACTTTCTATTGTTTTTTTATTTTTTTTATTTTGACCCTTTTTATTTTCCTGTTGAGTTTGAACACTGAGGGTGCTAAGTAGAGACTAATGTACGTCGCAGTGAAGTCTTTACCTTTTGCCGCTAATCTAAACAGAGCAACAACTTTTAATGAGGAGCCCCTTTGTCAGCTGCAAGGTACTGAAGGGAGTGAAAAATAGTTCAAAGATACAAACAATAATTCTGAGCTTGTTTATTGGTTTTGCAAACTGCCCAGATGTGGTTTAATGGCCTCCGTGGAGAACAGTTCAGGTTCAATACTAATACTGCGCACCTACTAGCTAATTACTAGTGTCAGGAACTGAGACTTTCATATATCCCAACTAACCTGCGAGTGCCCCATACGGGTTTTGCTCTGAGATAATGGGCACTAACCGGACTAGGGCTCACAATAGCTTACTTTGATTTATGAAACAAACCCAGATTTGTAAAAAATCAGTTAGCTACTTCATGTAGCTCTTAGCTGGGTCTTAAATTTGTATTAAGGGAATAAAAAAAAAAAATTATTACCACAACTATTTCTCATTGGCTAGCCAGCACAAGGACCTCTAAAGAGGCTCGGAAGGAAGCTAAATGTTGCTCTGGCAGTTCTATAGCTAAAAAAAAACAAAACAAAAAAAAAAAACAGACATGGTATTAATCTTCTTTTAACAACAATATACCGCTTAAATCTTTGCTAAGCTATATTTTAAAACGGTGAATTTAAGTATTTTCATGTGTTGGTGACAGAATGAGCGAGAGAAGGGATGTTAACAGTGTAGCTAAAATATGGTAATAATACTAAATCCTTTTTTCTGTTGCATAAATCTAATATATTTTTTAAAAACACACAACTCCACATGATAAAGACCCTAGTGCCTTCAGATGCTGATCGCAGAACCAAAGCAGACACTGGATTCTCTAGGTTTGCCATTGTTACCTTAGTTTGTGATTTACTTTAAACACCTAAAGGACTTTAGAAGATTCTGGAAAAATTGTCGACCCAGTGCTATGCCACTGGGTCACCAGAACCTTCCATGAGATTAGGTATGGGCTGGTATGAGATTCTCATGATACTCTTAAAGAAATATATTAATTATCTGGTCACTGTGAAAACCCCCCCTCCAAATTGTTTCAACCAAATTAACTGATTGTATTTAGAACAGCTCTAGCTTAGTATGGTAACCTTAAAGTGAAGACTGGCTTTTACATCTGGACTATCAATTATTCTCTCAACCAGAAATATATTAAAAAAAAAAAAATTAAGTGCCAGAAAAACAACATTTCAGCTTCAGTTTAGCCAGATGACCTAGCATACAGCAACAGCTTTTGCCTCAGACAACTCCAATCACTCCCAAAGATTTTATTGGCTTCTTAAGAAAAAAACAACAAAAAAAAAACAGACTGTGGCAACACATTTTGGACTCTGGTACCTGGCCCATGCCTATATTTAAGTGCAGAGATTGAACGTTTTTCTCCTGCTTTGCACATTTAAGTGGGTGAAAACAAAATGGTTTCCATTGACAATCAAATGTAGGCTGCCAAGCAGTTTTTTTTTTTTTTCTCCATGTTTTAGTTCTTTTGTTGTTGATGTTATTGTGCCACCGCTTCATGCCCACTAATTCACTCCTATACCCAATTAGTTGGAAAGTTACAAGCACATTTTGTCTTAAGATACTTTATTATTTATGCTTTAACAAGTATTTCACTTTTAGGAAGACATATGTTGAAATGTTGGGTCACAGTAGTGCCCCGGTCGTCTTGTTTTAGTTGCAGCGTGGTGAAATGTATGTGGAATAGTCCCTTTCTGTTTGGGGTTGCACGTACCGAATCGCCTGGATAAAAGCTACAGCTGATTGTGCTCATTTGCCATTTTTTCGTTTTTGTTTTTTGTTGTCGTTTCCTGTATTCACTTGTTTGTAGAGATGTCGTTATGTTTTGTGTTCTCTAACTTTATATGTTAATAGCACTTTGAATACACTGGTTAGGACTGCAGTTTTCACAAATGTACATATGTAATGTTTTTAATGAACATAAGGGTAATAAATTGAATGTTCATACCATAAGGGGGTTTGGATTTAGGCACAAGTGTACAAACATACTCAAACCTTTGGAATACCTTTTGGGGAAAGTGGTAAAGTTACAACCAGTGGTGGTTTTTGATATGGGCAGTTACCCAGGGTGGTATTAGAAAAGGGAGGCCATACCCCCCAAAAAATTAAATAAATAAAAACTATCTGTTGGTTGTGCCTTGGACACATTTTCTATTGCTATTATGGATGGGAAAACATTGGAGAGTTGGTGTCCTATGTGAACTGCTGAAATAAGTTCACATAGGACTGGTACCACATTCTATTCAGCTCCAGAATTGTTACTATTTCTTGTTTTTTTTTTTTTTGTTTTTTTTTGGGGGGTGGTGCCAAACATGCCAGAACCGCAGCTAAAAATGTGTAATTAAACGTAAAGTGAGTCGCACAAGAGACGGAACAAGCGGTTTTGTTTCGAACAGAGGCAATGTTCTCACACAGTCCGGCCTGCACTCCTTTCCCCAGGCCGAGTCATCTACACCTTGATTCATGTGGCCTTTGCAGTTCACGTTTCAAGTAAGTGAACAACCCACAGGAGCGAGCGCCCACTACTGTGGTAAATCGGCCCAGTGACACACGTGCGACCTCAACCTCTCTTAAGGCACGAGTCGAAGGCGTCTCGATCCTAGAAGCGAGAAGCGAGGAAGCTCTGAAAGCAAACGCGTCTCAAATAACCAACAGGAAATACGGTGAGCGCGTCTTTGAATACGAAGGTTTGCCGTTTCTAAAATGTTCTTCTTTCCAGCACCGAGATTAATTCGTTACATGTTAATTGGAAAATATTAACATATAATGAGCAAGCTGTAGTTTTTTTTTTTGTTTATTTGTTTTGGTGTAAATCCAAATAATGTTCTTAAACTAGTAACCTGTCCTGACAAGTAGATTCTTCTGAGCGTCGCGGTAGTTGCAGCTATTGAGAAAAA